AGTTGGCAGGGAAACGGCTTAGAGGTCACGGGTTTCGCCGGAAAAGCTAGGGAAATGCTTCCCGAGTTGGATCTGCACCAAAACTCTACCAATCATGCATGCAGACTCTGGAATTGCACCAAAACATCAAAAGGAAGAGAAACAAGGTGATCCCGAGACTTACCTTGGCCGTGTATGGCGGAATTTCGCAGGAAAACCTCTGAGTTCGAACATAGGTCATGAGCCCTCGGGTTGAGTTCCAAACCGCTTTCTGTCCTCGCCTCAGGGTCTGGAAGACATGTAGGGACAAAATTAAGCAGTTGGTGGTGGTGACGGTGTGATTAAAGTGGTTGAATCTAAAATGGTTTTCTAAGAAAAGAAGTTGAAATGGTAGAGAGTGAGAGTGATTAAAGTGGGAGTTTTAATGGGGACTGGGGACAGGAAAAAATGGCACGGAGAAAGAAAGAAAAGTAAATAAAAATATAAAGGGATGACAAAATCAAGATCAAGGCACGGTTTAAGAGTAGAAAATTAAATAAAATATTAAAATGATTGTAAAATAAAGAATAGCTTAACAGTTTATAGTTTTTTTAGTAATAAAATGCTTTTTTGTCAAAATTGTTTCTGAGATTTGCATAACTCATTATTTTGGTCATGAGATTTGAAATCAATAGAAGTTGTCCCTAAGTACCAAAATGAAAAAACTACCTTCAATTTAAATAATGATCAAAATGACAAATTATATTAAATAAGGACTAAAATAACAAAATGACAAAAATAATTGATACTGGACAAATTTAGGGACTATTTTTACTGATTTCAAATCTCATAAATCAAAATAAAAAGTTATACAAATTTTAAGGATCATTTTAGGTAAAAGGCCATAATAAAACCAAGACAAACTTCACAAAAAAGAGAGAGGGACGAAAGGAGAGGGAGAGGGAGAGGGAGAGGGAGAGAGAGAGAGATGGAGTGTGACAAAGATGAGGGAAAGTAGAGAGAGATGGAGTGTGAGAGAGAGACTAAAGTGTGACAAAGAGATGAAGTGTTTGTTACATCCCACATCGTTTAGGGGAGTGTATTTTCTAAGCCTTATATGTATATTCTCATCTTTACATAGCACGAGGCTTTTTGGGAGCTTACTGGCTTCGGATTCCACTGGAACTCTGAAGTTAAGCGAGTTCGCGCGAGAGTAATCTCATGATGGGTGACTCATTGGGAAGTTCTATTGTGAGTTCCCAGATACAAAACCGTGAGAGTGTGGTTGAGGCCCAAAATAGACAATATCGTGCTACGGTGGAATCAAGCTCAGGATGTGATGGGGGCCCAGGCCGGAATGTGACAATGTTTGAGTTTGATGACTACACGGGGAAGAGGAAACTAGAGAGTGGGTCACGTCAGTGGGTCCCACTAACCAAGGTCCAATAGAGAAAGAATATTAAAATAATAAGAGAAATATCTTGATCAATAAAAATAAATTTTAGTCTCCAGATTGTTGAAGTAAGACACGACAATTGTGTCTGTACAACTAAATAATTCAAATCAGAGGGCACAATAAGGCTATTTATGTGTATGTAAATTAATAAAAAAAAAGTATAATTACTTGTATTTATAAATACTGAAAAAAAATTGTGCACAAATTTTAATAGGCACAATGAAGCTCTTTTTGGACACCAACAAATGTGCCTTGTATTCTGAGGGCACATTAGAGATATTTTGGCGCTCAATGAAGTTTAAAAGGCACAATTATGTATTTGTGTACAATGAAAATAAAGGGGGCACATATCTTTTGTGTTCTTAGCCCTTTTTTATTGTAGTGGGCTCTGTCAAAGAGAGAAAAAAATAACCATGGCTGCCAAATATCATAAACTCCAATACAAAACCTTGTTAATCTAGGTTAAGTTCATAGTAATTTGATTAGAAAGAAAGGTTATATGTATTCAATTATCTGATTCATGTCGGTGCCCATTGTTGGATTTTTGGATCGACAGGTCCGTTGGACTCCACTCTAACAACACCGATACTATCCCCAACTTTACTATATACCTAATCTGTTAGGTATGAGGTTTGACCACAAAAAACCTCGGTATTAGTTAGAGTGAGATAATCATATTTAAACCCATTATTTTCTTTTGCACCCACCGATGTGGGATTCCAACACTCCCCCTCACTTGTAACCCCATTTAATGGTTCACACTTGGAGATCCACACATCGGCAAATTGAAACTCAGAGGTCGACTCTATGTTAAGAGTCCTGGCTTGTTTCCATCTTGGTGACAAACTTGTTAGCTTGCACGGGCCCGAACTTGGCTCTAATACCATGTTGGATTCAACTTTACCACATGCTCAATCCGTCAAGTGTTGGGTTTTATTACAAAAAGTCTCGGTATTAGTTATAGTGGGATAATCATATTTAAAACCATTATTTTCTTTCACACCCACCGATGTGGGATTCCAACACCCATGTCCCCATTTCACCCAATTTCTAAACGTGGAAAAATTTCATTAAGTAGTAATGTTAATGGCGATTCTGATGTTGAATCTACAACAGTGTTGGGGGAAAAATTCTGCTGTTCTAGAATTTAGATAATCTCCATCAATCAAGCATGTTGAATTGCATGTCACCATTGTATATGGCGAGCGGCGTTGGCGCGGTGGTACCACACCAGTAAGACCAGGGTGAGCAAAAACAAAAGGATAGCTTTTATTTTTCTTCAATAGCTAGAAAAGTGAAGAAACTAGAACATTGTTAATAATTTTGACAATCACGGGAAGCAAAATTAATTTCATATTTGAGTTCAAATTAGTCAGTTTTTCTCCAAAAAAAAAGGAAAAAAAAAAAGTCAATAGTACAATGTCATCTTAACCGCTAAAATTGGGTTAATCTAATGGCTAAAAGTATGTGTAAATATACGTCTAAAAGGAAGTTTTCCTTGATTCCGACCTTGATAAATTTTTATTTAATTTTAAGGCCAAATTTTTTTTATGGTCCGTATGGTGATGTGCCTCTTTCAATGTCATCCTCATGGTGGAAAAGTTGTCAACTAAATCCCCTTGTGGTGAGGCTTGTTAGGGATTGAAGTCCAAACCCAAACTTCCGTTAGTCTATTATTAAACAAACTCCCATGACTATCACATGAAAGGGTCAAATTCATCATTTAAATCCAAATTACATAATATGCCATGGAAACATATAGTACAACTTAGCTAGGGTTTAACTGAAATTGAATTTCACATAAAAGAAGTTTGAACGCCATTGTAAAGTGAAACTAAACATGTAAATCCACGTCATTATTTGCATTAGGGTTAGGAATTTCAATTGATCATAGGCTATTGGGAACTTGATCTAGCACTTGAGCGTTGCTTTGAATTTGAGAGAACACTTCATCATGATTTCCAAACGAAACCATTCCTAAGAAATTAGGCGCAACTTTACCTTCACCTTTGCTCCTGACCATTGATGTGGATTTATAGGTTTAGTTTCACCTGAGGACGGCGTTCAAGCTTCTTTTTCGAGAAGTCCAATTTTAGATAAAACCTAAGTCGTACTAGATGTCTATGGCATAAGATATAATTTAGATTGAAATGACAAATCTGAACCTCCACGTGCTAGTCACGCGAGTTTGTTTAACAAAGACTAAGGGGGGTGTAGTCAAATTAGGATTTGACATGATTTTAATGGACTTTAAAATCAGAGGGTAGTCAATTAGGATTTTAGAAAAGGATTTTAAAAGACTTTGAAATCATGATGTAGTCAAATTAAGATTTAAGAGGATTTTAAAAATATATCCAAATCCAGAGATAGTCAAGTGAGATTTTAAAAGACATTTTTAGAATGATTCTAAATCTATGGGTATTCAAAAAATAAAGATTTGGTAGGATTTCATGAAAAAGTGGATTTCGTTGGATTTGAGAGCTTGAAGTATATATACCCAACACCAAATACAATCCCACCTCAACCCCTAGGATATCTTTCAAGCTCATGTTCCATTCTCTCCCTTCGGCCCTCACTTCTCAATCATAAGCAGCAAGAGAACTACTTCTCTAGTCCATATATTGGTGAATCAATACTCACTTGCACATCTTTAACCCTTGCCACTATTGTTCTATATATTTGTATGCTTCAATTTGGTAAGGGGTCAGTTAAACTCATTTAATCTGCTATGGAAGTGGTAGGTTTGTCAATAGAGTTGCAGATTGACTTGAGCTACAGAAACATACCATTTCAAATCAAACCCAGAAGTTTGATTACCAATCCAATCGGCAAAGTAAGACCAAAATTCAAAACCCACCATCTATAATGTAAGAACATATCAACCCACTGGTAAAAAAATAAAAACCAAAGAAGAAGAATTTGATTTGCACCTGAAAATCCAATTGAATCACTCGTTGATGCCTCGAATTGAATTTGAATAAAAAACAATCATTCTTCAAGGAGACAGAAAATGGATAAGATAATTAAAAAGTGTGAATTGGGTTGACATGCCGGCTTGAAAAGGAAGCAGCTGCATAATCATGTTTTAGGGCACGGAGGGAGAAAATGGTTTTTCTTTTCTTATTTGAAAAAAATAAAAACAATCTAAAAAAGATAAATGAAAAGAAACGACTATGCAAATCCATCAAAATCTACAAATAAAATCCAAACAAATCCATAAAAATCTATAATATAAATCTATATAAATCTGTCAAAATCCATTTAGAATTGTAAGTACATTAACATCCTTTGAAATCTGTCACTTAAAAAAAATCTATTAAATCCCCTGAAATCCAAATTGACTACACCCCCCTAAGATGGACGTTTGAGTTTGGACCCCAATTGCTAATAGCCCTCACCACGATGATTTAATTAACAACTTTTTCACCACGATGATAACATTGAAAGTGGCGTGTCATCACAAGGACCACGAAAAAAAATTGGCATAATTTTAAATATATTTTGTCTTTAACGTGAATTGTATACATTAATAGAAAATATAATTCACATTAAATTTAAAAAAAAAATTAAGTTGGGGGTAGAATAACAAAAGATGGATTGCATTAAATTTCTCTTTACCCTAGCCGAGCTCCACCAGAAACCCTACGCTGAGCCCCTCTTTGCCTGAGCCTCAACCAACCAGGTAAATTTCCCACCATCGGTTTACTTGCGAATTCCTGTGCTATCATTTTCTTTGATTGTAATCAGTATGGGGTTGGATTAATAGGATGATGCATTTTGGGATTATATTTCTTTCTCTGATCGTTTGATTGTATTATTTTTCTGGGACTCACAACTCCTTTTTCTTAAATGGAGGCAGGGCAATGGCAATGGCTGCTTCCATTCGTTGTATGCTTCGAAAGACTGGGAATATTAATGACAAAAGTATTCAGGATATCAACAGAACTTTTGGGAGCATAGCTGCTACTAATGTTGATGCAACTTCTAGCGACAACAAAGACCACAATAATGTCCAAGCACAAGCAGACGTTCTGTTTAATTCACTGCCTTGTGAGCCTACGACAGGCACAGTTTCCCGAACTGGTTACCGCACTGGCCCTGGGGCCGATCGTATACTCGGAAAAGGGAGGCAACGCATTCTCAAACCTGTACTCAAGAAGGAAACGAGGTATGGACGTGAACCGTCTGATGAACGGTTTGGTCTCAGACCATGTGACCGCCGAGTTGGCTCTCACCACAGATTCACTCTACCTAGAGAAGGTCTCTTTACTCATGGCGTCCCCTACGAAGTAAGAATATCATATCTCATTAATTATATAATCAGGATTTCTACATTAAGGATTATTCAGGCAAAAAATGGGCTAAGTTTGTAACTGTTAGCAGTTTGATTATCCACATTTCCTATTCAGATTTTATGAACTGTGTTCTTCTGCCATATTAGGGCACCAAATCTACGCAATTAACCACGAGTCTCTATATGTGTCTTCTTATGTGTTCAGGGTTGCCCCAAATGTTGTACACTAAAATGGGAAGAAGTTGACCGTAAGAAAAAGGGATTGCCGATACTATTTGCTGCTGCGAGGTGGAAGGCTGGGCGTTGTCATCGGTGTGGTGCTGCTACTCCTGCCACTGCTGCTGCTAGAAGAAGAAACAAGGGCAAGAAGGATGTGACGCTGGAAGAATTTATATCATTTGCAACGTACTACGCAGAAAAATATTGTCAAACATATGCGGATCCTGCTGATGATGCCAGGGCAGTGAAACAGGAAGTGCGATGGGCAGTGCACGGTGCATTGTAAAGTGGATTGCACCATTGTAGAGAGGCTGGCGAGCTTCAACAAAATGAAGAAACCGCAACTGCAATGGACAGCAGTTTGAAAGATTTCTAGCTATTTGTCAATAATTAACGGACTGCATTTTTATAACGTTGTTTGTGTGTTTGGAACGGTAGAAATGTTTAATTACTTACATGGTATGCTATGGGAATGATTTATCATCAGTTTTACTCTCTCTCTCTCTCTCTCTCTCTCTCTCTCTCCCTCCGGCCCTCCGTCCCTCCCTCCGTCCCTCCCTCCTTGTATTAGTATACTGCAGCGACAACCCAGGTACTTCCATAATTCACAATGGAGACCAAGTCGATCTCAGACCACAAAGGCCCCCCCCAACCTGAAGGCGTCGTGTTTGCGCATCACATCTTTTCTATCAAGTTTGTCAATTGTTCCTGATGCATCATCATCTTTTCCATATGGTTTTTATGCTTCTTTGGTCTGAATTTCCATGTTCTCATGGCCTCATATGCTACTCCAGCTTCTCTCCTCCATTCTCTGAATAAAAATGTGATGACTTTAGAAGGGTTGACAATATCAATGTATTGGCTTTTGTTAGGGGTAAGAGGTTGGTAGGGATGTATAGACATAATTGCTTTTCGTCACTGTGATAAAGCATCATCTGCATGTATTGGCTTTTGTTAGAGAGAAAAAAATTGCTATACCTAGAGTTTGGTTGTATTCTACCTTTGTACTAATGGTTCTTTGATTCTTTGATCTCCACTTCGTCGGATGAGGAATGGTTTCAAAATCTCATGGGACAAGAGGAGGTTATATTGGAACTGAAGAGACATTTGGATTTCATGCCAACCACATGTATTTACTCACATGCGAAATCATTTGGATTCATATATTTATTAACACATGGAAATGAAAATTACGTGACGCTTACTATATGCAATTTAATACAAAAAAGTCAAGAAGTAGATTAATTGAGGAATAATTGATCTCCTCCTTGTTCTGTCTTCTTTGAAAAGCAATAAAGTGTAAAGTTATATAATAATAAATTTAAAATTGTAAAAATATAAGAAATTCAGTCTATTTACATCAATAATGTTAGAGACACAAACTTATTACACCATATATAGCAATTTCTTATTCAGTACAAATAAATAAGTTTCAAAGTGATGACATAAGACATAAAACTAATGAAGCCAACACATTAATTAGCATTTAAAAGTCAATTCGCGTATTTAAGTGCGTACCGAAAAACTAGTTATAAAGAAGATTACTTTCTTCTTTTGACTCAATTGGAAATATTCCTATCTTATTGGAATTTGACTAGAAAGCCTAGAAGGATTAGGATAAAGTGGTAAGTGGCAACTTATAAAGTCCTAAGGACAAGGGTTTTATTGTCATTTTGTCCCTAAAAAATTCAAAATTCAAAAATAAATTAAAAAAACCTAAAACATCAGACATTGGTTAAAATAGGATATTTGTTGTCTCTCCCTTCCTACTTCAAACTAAAAAGACCACAGTCGGATGCATCAATCCATTCAATCTTCTCAAAGTTTGAAGCTTTTGATCAAGAACCCTCCTTCCTTTCCCAATCCCCCGATTTCCCAGTTCTGCAATTTCTCCATTGTTTCACTCCAGGCTACCTGAACATTTCAATCTTCAACTCTCCTGTTCTGAAAGAAAAGAGGTAACTTTTTGGTCAATTTTTGTTGGGTTTTTGTTTTAGATGTTGATCGATCGTGGGTTTTGTGGAAAATTCGTTACTTTTGGTGTTTTTGTGATCTGATTGTGTAAATGGTATCGGGATTTCGATTGTATGTGAATTGCAAGTTTTGATTTTTCATGGTGCCTAAATCGTGTTTAGAATCAGCTTGAATGAATGCAATTTCTGATGCAAAAAAATGCCTGCGTAATTATAAACTGTATCGTCGTTCGAATAGCTAGCTTTTGTACGAATTTTTGTGCCATTTTCGTAGGTTTTCGTTGAAGTTGCTCAGTCCTGTGCTTTTGTTTTTGGCAGTTTTGTTGGGTTCATTGGATTTGATGGATACCAATAAGTGGAGGCCTTATCAAGTTGGAGAGGCCGCCATGGATGCCGGCGATTGGAGGAGTCAGCTGCAGGCTGATTCAAGGCAAAGAATTGTCAACAAGATGTAAGTGTTTTTCTTTGTCAAATTTTTATTTTTGTTTCAAGCAGTACTCTAATTTAGCGTAATCTAATCTAAACTATGGCGAGAGGGATGCAAACTTAATACATATTTTAGTGGATTGTATACGAATCCAGTTTTGCTATGAATGCTACCCCCGTTTTGGTAGTCAGTAATTGATGTTGGTTTTATTGCATGTATAGAATGGATACATTGAAGAGGCATCTTCCCTTCTCCGGACAAGATGGATTACAGGAACTCAGTAAAATTGCTGTAAGGTTTGAGGAAAAGATTTATACTGCAGCCACAAGCCAGGTGCTTCCATAATTCCGGAGTTCTGATTTCTTATGGTGCACGAAATGTTTGCGTACTTAAATACTTACCTATCTATAACATATATGACTTCTTAAAAAAATGTTGTCTATGTTTGAACTTTCTTCATATTTTGGATAGAACTGTATTCTAAGTTTAGCATGGATTTTTTTATTTTTGTAGTCGGATTATCTACGGAAAATTTCTCTGAAGATGCTCACAATGGAGACCAAGTATCAGAATTCAATGGGCAATCCTTTACAATCTAACTCTGCTGGTAACAGCAACAGGCCCCCTGATCCAGGTAAAAACAGCTATTGAAAACTGCCCTTTTCTCTCCCGGCTAGCTTACTTCTTGATGGTTAATTTATTGCGAGAATCGTTCGTTCTTTTTCTTAATTACTCCTGCATTTCTTAACTGAGATGATTCGTTCTTGATATCTTTAGTTGCTGTTATTTAATGGATCAAATGATGAGTACAAATGACATTTATTGTATTCTTGTTTTGACGCTTGTTTGTGTGGTGTTTATTCTTGCTATTTACTTGAGTAGGGTCTTCCGGTATGCAACCCCAAGTCCCCAATCAAGGGCAATCACACTCTATGCCGTTGCCAGCTAATCAATCTCAAGGACGCCAACCACTTTTAGCACAGAACATTCAGAATAATGTTACTGGGTTACACCAACAGCAGCAAAGCAACCTTTCTAATATCCATCAGCAACAATTGGACCTGCATAATAATGTTACTGGGTTACAGCAACAGCAGCACCTCGGAACTCAAAGTGGTAATTCTAGTATGCAACCAAATCAGCACTCTGTACACTTGTTGCAACAATCCAAGATTCAGGTGCAGCAACAACGACATCAGAATGCATCTAACATGTTACCGACTCAAGGACAGCAGTCACAACCTCAGGCATCGCAGCAACAAATGATGTCACAGATTCAATCACAGTCTGCACCGATGCAACAAATGGGTTTGCAACAGCAGTCAAATCCACTGCAACGAGATATGCAGCTTCAAGCATCAGGTCTGATATCAGGAACCATGCTTCAAGCTCAAAATATAATGGATCAGCAAAAGCAGTTATATCAGTCTCTGAGGCCCCTTTCTGAGACATCATTGAGTACGATTTTTGCACTTATGCACTTTCCTGATTTTATGCATGTGCATCCATGATATCTGGATTATCATAGGTGTACATTTTGGACGGAATATTATTTTATTCTTATTTTACTTTTGTATTATGTGTCATTTGGGTCTGTTTATCATATTGTATTATAGGTAACCTTGTCATTTTTATGTCATTAATCCGATTTTGTTATGAAAATGGTCTTTATTATATGTTTTTATGGGGGCACACTATTTTTGGATGACTTTGGTAAATATATTATTTTGTTGTGGGTTGCCAGATGTAGGTGTCTAGACTCTCTATGGAAGTAGTCTCATTTTGGAATTTTATCTGTACCATATATGACCTCTTGTATTAAAATGTAGCATGGATGCGCAATGGACTTAATCAATAGAAATTTTTTATGCCTGGCTATCTTGCCTAGTAGGTGTGTCCCATCTTCCCACCACATGTTCGTTGTCACCAACACTTTTAAATAGATGCATCATGCCTCTCTTTCAAACATGACGACTTCTGTTCTTTTCCAGTACTTCAGCATCTAACCATCATGGAATGGAGAACCAGAGTCCTATGCAAATATCTGGTCACATTAAACTATAGGGCTAAAGCAAGCCTTGGTCTTTCTTGATTTCTTGCTTTTCTTTTTAGAGGTTGATATGTGTAGTGGTAGTGGACATAAAATTTTGTGATTTATATTTGGTAATTGGATTTATATAAAAGGAACAGAGTTAGTCTTGTATGTTGCAGCACAGGGGAGGGAAGATAAAAAGCTAAATCCCAAACTGAAAGAAAAAATAAATTCAAAGTTAGTCTTGCATTCTGAATATCCATATAGGCTGAACTAGGGTTGAGTAATAGAGATTGATGTGGTTATATAATCTAAAAGTAAAATCCCACAAGGAAATGAATTAATTATAGCAAATAATAATCCACAAGGATAAGAAAATAGTTATTAAACCCGACTAAGAGAATAGAATATATATATAAATAGCCTAGTTACGAGTTTTGCGCCTACACCTCAAATTTGGTATACGGACCACCTTAATTACCATAAGTTTACCTTTCACCTCTCTTGCTTAATGTTTACAATCAGAGTTCTTTACGAGTGATTTGCTGGTGAAAGCTGAAGCTTCTGTTGCCTTTGATTTTAGTTTTTGTATCTTTGTCTTTCCATGAGATATGGTGATAGAGACGCTATTCTGACATAATGTTAACCCATTTCCTCTTGATAACTCCACAATTACTTTTAAACAAAGAAAAAGAAACCTTTGAAGTCTTCCCATAAAAAAGTAATTGCCCTCATAAGCTGAAAGTAGGAGCAAAATTGCACCTGAAGTGCCTTTCATACCTTTGGGTATTGAAAACATGGGTTTTTACTTTTTATTCTTCAGTTTTGCTTCTATTGGTTTATAGATAAAGAGCTTTCGGTGGACTACTGTGTTTACTAAATGTTGCTGCCCATGGATATATTTTCCTCAATCTAGAGCATGCATGGTCCTTTTCCACTGGCTCATGAAGCTTCTTGTCTGTTCTTAGATTTTGCTTATGATGTATGGAATGATATTTATATTTTGTTTTACAAAAAATACATTTCAACTGTTTGGGAAGGATAATTTTCCATATCAATGTTCTGCTTGCAATGCTTTTTTTTTTTTTTTTTCTTTCTCATTTTTAACCCTCGTGTTCAAATTTCATTTTATGTGCAAACATTGACATATATCTCTCTATATTTTGCAGCTTCTCTGGATTCCTCAGCTCAGGCTGGACATGCTAATGGGGGTGATTGGCAAGAGGAGGTCTATCAAAAAGTAAGATGTCCTGCCTTCTTGTCCATTTGATGGCTTTCACATACAACATCTAAATATAAAAATACAAATTATTTGGCTTGGGGGTGGGAATAGAGCTACTGGAAAAGAATTATACTAATGCCAAAATTGCCTTGAATGGGGATTTTGAAGAATTACATGCTAGTTAAGATTCCCTGTGGGACAGCTTTGTTAAGCTACCATCGGTTGGGAGTTAATTAAAACTTGCTTCATTAGATACAAGCATACATGAATTCATGGTTGCATGCACGGGCTCTTTTCCATTGGCATTGATGTTATGATGGTGTCGGCAAGCATGTAGCTGCAGCAAAGTTCTTTCTAATCATCTTTGTATTGTAACTTTCATTTGCAGATCAAAGTCATGAAGGAAAGGTACTTACCCGAACTAAGTGAAATGTATCAGAAAATTGCTACTAAACTTCAGCAGGTATGTAATCAATTCAATTTTTTCTTCTCTCATAATTTGTTGCTTGAACTTTTAGCAATAAGCGGGGCTTTCCCTGCGAGGTTATTGTGGTGCTGCTCTTTGATAGATTCTACCTTGATCTCCCTTTTAATTATTGTACCCATGTAGACCGTCTACATGAGATTGTTACCTCACCAATAATGCTAATAAGATTTCGCAACAAAGTTGTTACTCCTTATATTGCCATTCATTTGCTTACTGACGTCTGTTCTTTCTGTTTGCCAGCACGATTCTCTTCCACAACAACCAAAGTCAGAGCAGCTTGAGAAGCTTAAAATGTTCAAAACCATGTTAGAGCGCCTCATATCAGTCTTACAGATTTCCAAGAGTAGCATTTCACCTGGTTTGAAAGACAAGTTGGGTTTATATGAGAAGCAGATAGTAAATTTTATTAATACAAATGGACCACGGAAGCAAGATCCTCTGCAACAAGGGCAGCTCCCCCCACCTCATATGCACTCCATGCAGCAGCCGCAGCCTCAAACTCCTCAAGTGCAGTCTCATGAAAATCAAATGAACCCTCAGTTGCAAACAATGAATTTACAAGGTTCTGTGCCAACAATGCAGCAGAACTATATGACAAGCTTGGAGCAAAATTCAATGTCTTCGATATCTGGGGTTTCAACAGCACAACAGAACATGATGAATTCATTGCAGCTGAGTACAAATTTGGATTCAGGACAGGGAAATGCACTGAACTCTTTGCAGCAAGTTCCGGTGGGATCTATCCAACAAACTCCTGTCAGTGCTCCCCAGCAAGCTAACATGAATGGTTTGTCATCGCAGAGTGGGGTTAGTATGCTTCAGCCATATTATCTCCCTTCAGTCAAATTCTGGTATGCTTCAACACCAGCAATTAAAACAGCAGGAACAGCAAATGTTTCAGAATCAACTGAAGCAACAGTATCAACAGCGAATGCAGCGGCAATTGATACAGAAGCAGCAGATACTGCAACAGCAACAGCAGCATCAACAGTTGCTGCAAGCAAACCAGCAGCTTCCGGCGCAGGTGGAGGCGAACCAACACCAAATGCCACTGCTTCATCAAATGAATGATGCAAATGACTTGAAGATGAGACAGGGGATGGGTGTTAAGCCAGGGGTTTTTCAGCAACATATATCCGCAGGCCAGCATGCTTATCCGCATCAGCAGTTGAAATTAGGATCTCCATTTCCTATTCCATCATCAAACCAACTCATTCAGGCTGCATCTTGTCAAATTTCGCAACATTCTTCTCCCCAAGTTGACCACAAGAATCTACTGACTCACCTGAAAGCTGGAACACCATTGCAAACTGCCGGTTCACCTGTTGTCATCCCATCTCCTTCAACTCCCATGGTTCCATCCCCCATGCCAGGGGATTCTGAGAAACCTTCCTCACTACCAAATGCTGGGAATATCGGACATCAACAAGCAGCTGGGGTGGGAGCACCAGTCCAGTCCCTTGCAATTGGCACTAGTGGGATGTTGGCATCTCCTTTGCTTGCTGAATTTATTGTACCAGATGCTAGTCATTTTAATGCTTTGTCAACTATTTCTAGCAAATCGAGTGTTACCGAGCAGCCTCTTGAACGCGGTTAGTAAAGTGGTTCTTATTACATATTTCTCTTTTTGAGTGCTGTAATGATGTTTCAGTACTTAGCATCTAAGTTGGTCTTTTCCTTCCCTCACTTGTGCTTAAATTAAATTTCTGGATTTTGAACTTGCAGGTGAAATCGATGTCACCTAATGCATTGAGTGCATCTGTCAGTGACATTGGCTCAGATGCATTGAGTGCATCTGTTTGCTGCTGTGAGGTGGAAGGCTGGGCGTTGTCATCGGTGTGGTGCTGCTACTCCCGCCACTGCTGCTGCCAGAAGAAGAAACAAGGGCAAGAAGGATGTGACGCCTGAAGAATTTATATCATTTGCAACATACGCGGAAAAATATTGTCAAACATATGCGGATTCTGCTGATAATGCCAGGGCAGTGGAAAAGGAAGTGCAATGGGCACTGCACAGTGCATTGTAAAGTGGATTGCACCATTGTAGAGATGCTGGCGAGCTTCAACAAAACGAAGAAACCGCAACCGCAATCGCGAAATGAATGGACCGCATTTTGAAAGATTTCTAGCTATTTGCCAATAATTAATTAAAGAGACTGCATTTTTTTGACGTTGTATGTGTGTTTGGAACAGTAGAAATGTTATTTACTTTTATTGTATGACTATGGGAATGATTTATCATCAGTTTTACTTTTATATGGTTGAATTAGAGGAGCTCTCTCTCTCTCTCTCTCTCTCTCTCTTATTAGTATACTGCAGCCACAGTCCAGGTACTTCCATGATCCTGGGCCGTGACTTCACAATGGAGACCGAGTCTCAGACCACAAAGGCCCCCTCCAACCTGAAAGGGCGTCGTGTTTGCACATCACATCTTTTTTATCGAGTTTGTCAATTGTTCCAGATGCATCATCATCTTTGCCATATGGTTTTTATGCTTCGTTGGTCTGAATTTCCATGTTGAACATGTTCTCATGGCCTCATATGCTACTTCAGCTTCTCTCCTCCATTCTCTGAATAAAAATGTGATGACTTTATAAGGGTAGAGGATATCAATGTATTGGCTTTTGTTAGGGGTGAGGAGGTTGGTTGGGGTGCATGGATATAATTGTTTTTCGTCACTATGATAAAGCGTCATCTGCATGTATTGGCTTTTGTTAGAGAGAAAAAAATATTGCTATACCTAGAGTTTGGTTGTATTCTACCTTTGTACTAATGGTTTTTGGATCTCCATTTTGTCGGATGATGTAATGGTTTCAAATCTCATGGGACAAGAGGTTATATTGAAGATTTCATGCCAACCACGAAATCATTTGGATTCTTACATTTATTAACACATGAAAATAAAAGTTACGTGATGCTTACTATATGTAACTTAATACCAAAAAGGTCAAGAAGTAGATTAATTGAGGAATAATTGATCTCCTCCTTGTTCTGTCTTCTTTGAATAGCAATAAAGTGTAAAGTTATATAATTAATAAATAAAAAATTAAAAAAATATAAGAAAATCAGTCTATTTACATCAATAATGTTAGAGACACAAACTTATTACACCAACTATATATAGCAATTTCTTATTTAGTACAAATAAATAAGTTTCAAAGTGATGATATAAAACATAAAACTAATGAAATGCCAACACATTAATTGGTGTTTAAAAGTCAATTCGCGCATTTAAGCGCATACCGAGATGCTAGTTATAAAGAAGATTACTTTGTTCTTTTGACACAGTCGGAAATATTCCTATCCTATTGGGATTTGACTAGAAAGCCTAGAAGGATTAGGATAAAGTGGTAAGTGGCAACTTATAAAGTCCTAAGGACAATGGTTTTATCGTCATTTTGTCCCTAAAAAATTCAAATTTCAAACATAAATAAAAAAATGGAGCTTTAATGAAAATGATTTGGGCCAACAAATATTTAACCAAAAATCATCCTAAAATATTATTTAACCAAAAGGGCTCAAAGTTTAATAAAAAATCATCCAAAACTATTGTCTACCTTTTTCGTGCCCTTATCCTCCTTGTCCTCGTCATCGTCCTCATCCTCATCCTCTTATCTGCACCACGAACAATTTATAGTGTTAGTATTTTATTCCAATCAGATCCAATAAGGACCTACGGTCCCGGTGATGTACATACATGTCAGGCGTTTGTAAATAGGAAAAAAAAAACCAAAACATAAAACTGTTTCTGGAGAACCCAAAACATAACACTATTTTTGGAAAAAAAAAATCAGATACATTTTTTGTTTTTTCTGTGCACAAACAAACACTCTATCTGAAAATAAAAGAACCAAAATCCATAAACAATGACTTAAATTCAAAAAACAGTGCTTTAAATTCCAGAAACAGTCTATGTTTTAACCTTTGATTGTTTCTTTTCTTGCATGCATCAGTTGATTATATTTAAAAAACATGATGCTTATTTTTCTTTGAATTCAAATACAATGAATTTCACTATTTCTTTTCTAGCTTTCATTTAAGAAACAGTGTGTCTATTTCATTTAGATCCAGAAACAGTGTTACTTAAAATCCAGAAACAGTTTATTTTTACAGTCCAGAAACACTGACCATCGTTATTATTGAATAACATGCAGATCTCAAATTTTTTTTTGTAAAAACAAACGATGAACTCCACTAACAAAGAAAAATTGAAAAACAATATTTCGAATACTTTATGAATAATAACAACAATCACGTTTCAACAAAATAATACAAAATATAAATTAACTTGCATGAGGATCTATATTTTTGTTTCAAAGAAAAAGAAGAAAGTCTGCAAAACAACGATGAACTTCATTAACGACGAAAATCTGAAAGTCAACCTAAAAAAGTTAAAGGTAAAATCAACAAATAATAAGTTATTATAGTTAGACCATTTTTAGTTGGACTACTTTAATATGAGTTTTATACTAATCATTAAACAAAACTTATAACATGATTTTTTATTAAAACTAAAACATTTCAGACGCTTTTCATTAGTTTTTCTATAAAAAAAAACCTAAAAAATCAGACATTGGTTAAAACGGGATATTTGTTGTCTCTCCCTTCCTACTTAACTAAAAAGACCACATCAGACGCATCAGGGCTGGTCTGATATTGCTGTGCTTTGAAAAAAAAGTTGTTGTGAGAATAAGCAGCTGTGAAATAAATCAGTAGAGTGTTTGGTAAACTTTTTTGTAAAAGTGCTTTTGAAAAAAAAAAAAAACAATCTGATAGTGGGTCTTTTCATTAAAAGAGCACTCTAGCTCTGTGTGTTTTGAAAAAATGCCAGTTTTCCAAAGCTGCAAATAGCAGCTTCAGCTTTTTCTTTTAATTTCAGCTTATTCTCACATCAGCTTCCAAAATAAGCTTTTTTTTCTTCAGTTTACCAAACACCTAAAACTCTCGCACTTTTTTTCATGGTGCTTTTTTTTTTTATGTCACTCCCAAACCATCCCCTCAATCCATTCAATCTTGTCAAAGTTTGAAGCTTTTGAGCAAGAACCCTCCTTCCTTTCCCAATCCCCCGATTTCCCAGTTCTGCAATTTCTCCGTTGTTTCACTCCAGGCAACCTGAACCTTTCAATCTTCAATTCTCCTGTTCTGAAACAAAAGAGGTAACTTTTTGGTCAAATTTTGTTGGGTTTTTTGTTTTAGATGTTGATCGATCGTGGGTTTTGTGGGAAATTCGTTATTGTTTTTTTTTTTTTTGATTTGATTGTGTAAATCGTATCTGGTTTTCGATTGTATGTGAATTGCAAGTTTTGATTTTTCATGGCGCCTAAACCGTGTTTAGAATCAGCTTGAATGAATGCAATTTCTGAAGCAAAAAAACTGCCTGCGTAATTATAAACTGTATCGTCGTTCGAATAGCTCTTGTACGAATTTTTGTGCCGTTTTCGTAGGTTTTCGTTGAAGTTGCTCAGTCCTGTGCTTTTGTTTTTGGCAGTTTTGTTGGGTTGATTGGATTTGATGGATACCAATAAGTGGAGGCCTTCTCAAGTTGGAGAGGCCGCCATGGATGCCGGCGATTGGAGGAGTCAGCTGCAGGCTGATTCAAGGCAAAGAATTGTCAACAATCTGTAAGTGTTTTTCTTTGTCGATTCTTTTTTTTGTTTCAAGCGGTAGTCTAATTTAGCGTAATCTAATCTAAACTATGGCGGGAGGACTTCAAACTTAAAACATATTGGTAGTCAGTAACTGGTGTTGATTTTATTGCATGTATAGAATGGATACGTTGAAGAGGCATTTTCCCTTCTCCGGACAAGATGGATTGCAGGAACTCAGTAAAATTGCTGTAAGGTTTGAGGAAAAGATTTATACTGCAGCCACAAGCCAGGTGCTTCCATAATACCAGAGTTCTTATTTCTTATGGTGCATGAAATGTTTGTGTACTTAAATACTTACCTATCTATTACATATATGACTTCTTAAAAAAATGTTGTATATGTTTGAACTTTCTTCATATTTTGGATAGAACTGTATTCTAAATTTAGCATGGATTTTTTTATTTTGTAGTCGGATTATCTACGGAAAATTTCTCTGAAGATGCTCACACTGGAGACCAAGTCTCAGAATTCAATGGGCAATCCTTTACAATCTAACTCTGCTGGTAACAGTAAAAACAACTATTGAAAACTGCCCTTTTCTCTCTTGGCTACCTTTCTTCTTGATGGTTGATCTGTTGCGAGAAATGTTCGTTCTTTTTCTTAATTACTCCCGCATTTCTTAACTGAGATGATTCGTTCTTGATATCTTTATTCGCTTGTATTTAATGGATCAAATGATGAGTACAAATGACATTTATTGTTTTCTTGTTTTGATGCTTGTTTATATGGTGTTTATTCTTGATATGGTGTTTATTCTCGCTATTTACTTGAGTAGGGTCTTTCGGTATGCAACCCCAAGTCCCCAATCAAGGGCAAAATTGCACCTGAAGTCTTCCCATAAAAATGTAATTGCTGTCATAAGCAGAAAGTAGGAGCAAAATTGCACCTCAACTGTTTGGGAAGGATAATTTTCCATATCAATGTTTTCCATGCAATGCTTTTTTTTTTCTTTCTCATTTTTAACCCTCGTGTTCAAATTTCATTTTATGTGCAAACATTGACATATATATCTCTCTATATTTTGTAGCTTCTCTAGATTCCTCAGCTCAGACTGGATATGCAAATGGGGGTGATTGGCAAGAGGAGGTCTATCAAAAAGTAAGATGTCCTGACTTCTTGTCCATTTGATGGCTTTCACATACAACATCTAAATATAAAAACACAAATTATTTGGCGTGGGGGTGGGAATAGAGCTACTGGAAAATAATTATACTAATGCCAAAATTGCCTTGAATGGGGATTTTGAAGAAATTACATGCTAGTTAAGATTCCTTGTGGGGCAGCTTTGTTAAGCTACCATCGGTTGGGAGTTAATTAAAACTTGCTTCATTAGATACAAGCATACATGAATTCATGCTGTCTGAATTCATGAGTATCGGCAAGCATGTAGCTGCAGCAAAGTTCTTTCTAATCATCTTTGTATTTATAACTTTCATTTGCAGATCAAAGTCATGAAGGAAAGGTACGTACCCGAACTAAGTGAAATGTATCAGAAAATTGCTACTAAACTTCAGCAGGTATGTAATCAATTCAATTTTTTCTTCTCTCATAATTTGTTGCTTGAACTTTTAGCAATAAGCGGGGCTTTCCCTGCTAGGTTATTGTGGTGCTGCTCTTTGATGGATTCTACCTTGATCTCCCTTTTAATTATTGTACCCATGTAGACTGTCTAATTGGGATTGTTACCTCACCAATAATGCTAATAAGATTTCGCGACAAAGTTGTTACTCCTTATATTGCCATTCTTTTGCTTACTGACGTCTGTTCTTTCTGTTTGCCAGCACGATTCTCTTCCACAACAACCAAAGTCAGAGCAGCTTGAGAAGCTAAAAATGTTCAAAACCATGTTGGAGCGCCTCATATCAGTCTTACAGATTCCCAAGAGTAGCATTACATCTGGTTTGAAAGAGAAGTTGGGTATGTATGAGAAGCAGATAGTAAATTTTATTAATACAAATAGACCGAGGAAGCAAGGTCCTCCTCTGCAACAAGGGCAGCTCCCCCCACCTCCTCATATGTAAAGTGGATTGCACCGTTGTTGAGAGGCTGGGCGAGCTTCAACAAAACGAAGAAATCACAACCGCAACCGCAAAATGAATGGACCGCATTTTGAAAGATTTCAAGCTATTTGTCAATAATTAATTAAAGAGACTGCATTTTTATAACGTTATTTGTGTGTTTGGAATGATTTATCATCAGTTTTACTTTTATATGATTGAATTAGAGGAGCTCTCTCTCTCTCTCTCTCCCTCTCTCTCTCTCAGACCACAAAGGCCCCCTCCAACCTGAAAAGGCGTCGTGTTTGCCCATCACATCTTTTCTATCAAGTTTGTCAATTGTTCCACATGCATCATCATCTTTTCCATATGGTTTTTATGCTCCTTTGGTCTGAATTTCCATGTTCTCGTGGCCTCATACGCTACTTCAGCTTCTCTCCTCCATTCTCTGAATAAAAATGTGATGACTTTAGAAGGGTAGACGATATCAATGTATTGGCCTTTGTTAGGGGTGAGGAGGTTGGTTGGGGTGCGTAGACATAATTGTTTTTCGTCACTATGGTAAAGCGTCATCTGCATTTGTTGGCTTTTGTTAGAGAGAACAAAAATTGCTATACCTAGAGTTTGGTTGTATTCTACCTTTGTACTAATGGGTTTTTGATCTCCATTTCGTCAGACAGGGCCGGCCCAGGCCCAGTGCAGAAGGGGCGACCGTCCAGGGCCCAAAAAAATTAGGGGCACCAAAATTATTAGGGCGATATATTTATATATGTTTTTATAAGAGTATAAATTTATAAAATTTGATTCAAAGACACAGAAATTTAACTAGAAGTGGTGGTTTGTCATTTAAAAATAATAAGGAGGTCTTGTGTTCAAAACATCATGTGTGCTTATTTACTTTCCTTTTTTTTACAAATTTCGTTTTATAAGAGTATAAATTTAGAAAATTTGGTTAAAGGATAAAGAAGTTTAATTAGAAACAATGATTTTTGTTGTTAAAATTAACAAGAGGTCCTAAGTTCGAAATGCTATGTGCATGTTTATTCTTTTCAATTTTTACAAATTTTTGTTTGGTTGGTAATTTATATTTAGTTACTATCTAGTAGCTATGTGGGTTGTTATTTTTAAATATTCGTTTTAATTCAAGTCTAATCTTCAACAAAGAATATTACGTATACCAAATTTGCAAATTATATGACGTGTCATCAAAATGTTTAATTTAGTAAAACTCGAAAACATCATTATTTTTTAGTCCCATATTGACAAGGTTAGTAAATAAGAAAAAAAACACATCACGATTTATTCAAAAACACATTCAAAGTTCAAATGGAAAACAAAACTCATCATCTATCTTCTTGTAAGCCCGAAGTTTTTTTGTTTCCCTCTCTCAATACAAAATAAATTAGTTTTTATGTGTTTCTAAATTATTAAGTTTGAAGTGTTTTTCTAAGTATAATTTTTTCGATGTCTTATGTGTGAAGATAAATAATTTTCTTACATGAAGTTAGGGCACTTTTTTTTACGTCGTCCCGGGCCTCAAAAATCTCTAGACCGGCCCTGTCGTCAGAGGAGGTAATGGTTTCAAAATCTCGCGGGACAAGAGGTTGTTATATTGAACTAAAGAGGACATTTGGATTTCATGCCAATCACATGCAAAATCATTTAGATTCTTACATTTATTAACACATGAAAATGAAAGTTACATGACGCTTTACTATATGGAATCTAATACCAAAATGGTCAAGAAGCAGATTGAGGAATAATGAAGTAGATTAATTGAGGAATAATTGATCTCCTCCTTGTTCTGTCTTCATTGAAAAGCAATAAAGTGTAAAGTTATATAACTAATAAATTTAAAATAAAAGAATATAAGAAAATCAGTCTATTTACATCAATAATGCTAAAGACACAAACTTATTACACCAACTATATATAGTAGTTTCTTATTTAGTACAAATAAATAAGTTTCAAAGTGATGATATAAGACGTAAAACTAATGAAATGCTAATACATTAATTGACGTTTAAAAGTTAATTCGCGCATTTGAGCGCGTACCAAGAAGCTAGTTATAAATAAGACTACTTTGTTCTTTTGACTCAGTTGGAAATATTCCTATCCAATTGGTATTTGACAAGAAAGCCTAGGATTAGGATAAAGTGGTAAGTGGCAACTTATAAATTCCTAAGGCCAATGGTTTTATTGTCTTTTTGTCCCTGAAAAATTCAAATTTAAAAAAAAAACCTAAAAAAAAATCAGACATTGGTTAAAACAGGATATTTCGTTGCTCTCCCTTCCTACTAACACATCAATCCATTAAATCTTGTCAAAGTTTGAAGCTTTTGAGCAAGAACCCTCCTTCCTTTCCCAATCCCCCGATTTCCCTGTTCTGCAATTTCTCCATTGTTTGACTCCAGGCAACCTGAACCTTTCAATCTTCAACTCTCCTGTTCTGAAAGAAAAGAGGTAACTTTTTGGTCAATTTTTGTTGGGTTTTTTGTTTTAGATGTTGATCGATCGTGGGTTTTGTGGAAAATTCGTTATTGTTGGTGTTTTTGTGATCTGATTGTGTAAATTGTATCTGGTTTTCGGTTGTATGTGAATTGAATTGCAAGTTTTGATTTTTCATGGCGCCTAAATCGTGTTTAGAATCAGCTTGAATGAATGCAATTTCTGATGCAAAAAAAATGCCTGCGTAATTATAAACTGTATCGTCGTCCGAATAGCTAGCTCTTGTACGAATTTTTTGTGCCCTTTTCGTAGGTTTTCGTTGAAGTTGCTCAGTCCTGTACTTTTGTTTTTGGCAGTTTTGTTGGGTTGATTGGATTTGATGGATACCAATAAGTGGAGGCCTTCTCAAGTTGGAGAGGCTGCCATGGATGCCGGCGATTGGAGGAGTCAGCTGCAGGCTGATTCGAGGCAAAGAATTGTCAACAAGATGTAAGTGTTTTTCTTTGTTGAACTTTTTTTGTTTCAAGCGGTAGTCTAATCCAGCTTTGCTATTATGAACGCTACCCCCATTTTGGTAGTCTGTAACTGATGTTGGTTTTATTGCATGTATAGAATGGATACGTTGAAGAGGCATCTTCCCTTCTCCGGACAAGATGGATTACAGGAACTCAGTAAAATTGCTGTAAGGTTTGAGGAAAAGATTTATACTGCAGCCACAAGCCAGGTGCTTCCATAATACCAGAGTTCTTATTTCTTATGGTGCATGTAATGTTTGCGTACTTAAATACTTACCTATCTATTACATATATGACTTCTTAAAAATATGTTGTCTATGCTTGAACTTTCTTCATATTTTGGATAGAACTGTATTCTAAATTTAGCATGGATTTTTTAATTTTGTAGTCGGATTATCTACGGAAAATTTCTCTGAAGATGCTCACAATGGAGACCAAGTCTCAGAATTCAATGGGCAATCCTTTACAATCTAACTCTGCGGGTAACAGCAACAGGCCCCCTGATCCGGGTAAAAACAACTAATGAAACGTACTTTCTTTTTCTTAATTATTCCTGCATTTCTTAACTGAGATGATTCGTTCTTGATATCTTTATTCACTTGTATTTAATGGGTCAAATACAACAACAACAACAACAACAAAGCCTTTTCCCACTAAGTGGGGTCGGCTATATGAATCCTAGAACGCCATTGCGCTCGGTTTTGTGTCATGTCCTCCGTTAGATCCAAGTACTCAAGTCTTTTCTTAGGGTCTCTTTCAAAGTTTTCCTAGGTCTTCCTCTACCCCTTCGGTCCTGAACCTCTGTCCCGTAGTCACATTTTCGAACCGGAGCGTCAGTAGGCCTTCTTTGCACATGTCCAAACCACCGGAACCGATTTTCTCTCATATTTCCTTCAATTTTGGCTACTCCTACTTTACCTCGGATATCCTCATTCCCAATCTTATCATTTCTCGTGTGCCCATACATCCCACGAAGCATCCTCATCTCCGCTACACCCATTTTGTGTACGGGTTGATGCTTCACCACCAAACATTCTGTGCCATACAACATCGCTGGCCTTATTGTCGTCCTATAAAATTTTCCCTTGAGCTTCAGTGGCCTACGACGGTCACACAACACGCCGGATGACATTTATTGTATTCTTGTTTTGACGCTTGCTATGTGGTGTTTATTCTTGCTATTTTACTTGAATAGGGTCTTTTGGTATGCAACCCCAAGTTCCCAATCAAGGTATGCAACCCCAAGTCCCCAATCATGGGCAATCACTCTCTATGCCGTTACCAGCTAATCAATCTCAAGGACGCCAACCACTTTTATCACAGAGCATTCAGAATAACATTCCACCTGCTGGAGTTCAAAGTTCGTCTGGCTTATCATCTGCACTACCTCCTTCTTCCGGTTTAACCCAGACTCCTATCCCAAGTATAGGTGGACAAAACCCAAACATGCAAAATATGTCTGGAAGTTCACAGAATTCATTAGGGAATTCCATGGGCCAGGGGGTACCCTCCAATGTCTTTGCTAATTCTCAAAGGCAAATGCCAGGAAGGCAACAGGTAGCTCCCCAACAGCAGCAGCCGCAGCAATCCCAGAATTCCCAGAATTCCCAGCAGTATATGTACCATCAACAGATGCAACATTCGCTTTTGAAGCCAAAATATGAGCAGGGAAATATGCCACAACTTGTGCAACAGCAACAGCAACAGCAGCAGAACCTTTTACAACCGACTCAGTTGCAATCTTCCCAGCAATCTGTTATGCCAACATCGTCTGTTATGCAGCCTTCAGTGCAATCATCTGTCCAGCAGAATCAACAATCTGCTATGCAACAGTCATCACAACCCATGCTTCCGCAGCATTCACAGCCAGTTCTCAGGCAGCAACAGCAGCCTCAACAGGTAGCTGTTCATCAACAGCAAACACCAATGGCACAACAGCCAATATTAACCCCGCAGCAGCAGCAGCCAACTGCTTCAAACTTGTCCCAGAATCAGATGATTGGACAACAAACTAATGTCGGGGATATGCAGCAGCAGCAACAACAGAGGTTACTAAACCAGCAGAATAATCTTTTAAACCTGCAACAACAGCAACAGCAACAGCAGCAGCAGCAGCAGCAGCAACAGCAACAACAGCAGCAGCAGCAGCAGTTAATGGCTCAGCAAAGCAACCTTTCTAATATCCATCAGCAACAATTGGGCCCGCAGAGTAATGTTACTGGGTTACAGCAACAGCAGCAAAGCAACCTTTCAAATATGCATCAGCAACAGTTGGGCTCTCAGAGTAATGTTACCGGATTACAGCAACAGCAGCACCTTGGAACTCAAAGTGGTAATTCTAGTATGCAACCAAATCAGCACTCTGTACACTTGTTGCAACAATCCAAGGTTCAGGTGCAGCAGCAACAACATCCGAATGCATCTAACATGTTACCGACTCAAGGACAGCAGTCACAACCGCAAGCATCACAGCAACAAATGATGTCACAGATTCAATCACAGCCACAGATGCAACAAATGGGTTTGCAACAGCAGTCAAATCCACTGCAACGAGATATGCAGCAAAGGCTTCAAGCATCAGGTCAGATATCAGGAACCATGCTTCAAGCTCAAAATGTAATGGATCAGCAAAAGCAGTTATATCAATCTCAGAGACCCCTTGCTGAGACATCATCGAGTACGATTTTTGCACTTATGCACTTTCCTGATTTTATGCATGTGCTTTCATGATATCTAGATTATCATAGGTGCACATTTTGGACGGAATCTTATTTTATTCTTATTTTACTTTTGTATTATGTGATTTCGGTCTGTTTATCATATTGTATTATAGGTAATACTGTCATTTTTATGTCATTAATTTGATTTTGTTATGAAAATGGTCTTTATTATATGTTTTTATGGGGCACACTTTTTTTTTGGATGACCTTGGTAAATATATTATTTTGTTGTGGTTGCCAGATGTAGGTGTCTAGACTCTCTATGGAAGTAGTCTAATTTTGGAATTTTATCTTTGCCATATATGACTTCTTGTATTAAAATGTAACATGGATGTGCATTGGACTTAGTCAATAGAAATTTTTATGCCTGGCTATCTTGCCAAGTAGGTGTGTCCCATCTTCCCACCACATGTTCGTTGTCACCAACACTTTTAAATAGATGCATCATGCCTCTCTTTCAAACATGACGACTTCTGTTCTTTCCAGTACTTCAGCATCTAACCATCATGGAATGGAGAACCAGAGTCCTATGCAAATATCTGGTCACATTAAACTATAGGGCTAAAGCAAGCCTTGGTCTTTCTTGATTTCTTGCTTTTCTTTTTAGAGGTTGATATGTGTAGTGGTAGTGTACATAAAATTTTGTGATTTATATTTGGTAATTGGATTTATATAAAAGGAACAGAGTTAGTCTTGTATGTTGCAGCACAGGGGAGGGAAGATAAAAAGCTAAATCCCAAACTGAAAGAAAAAATAAATTCAAAGTTAGTCTTGCATTCTGAATATCCATATAGGCTGAACTAGGGTTGAGTAATAGAGATTGATGTGGTTATATAATCTAAAAGTAAAATCCCAAAAGGAAATGAATTAATTATAGCAAATAATAATCCACAAGGATAAGAAAATAGTTATTAAACCCGACTAAGAGAATAGAATATATATATAAATAGCCTAGTTACGAGTTTTGCGCCTACACCTCAAATTTGGTATACGGACCACCTTAATTACCATAAGTTTACCTTTCACCTCTCTTGCTTAATGTTTACAATCTGAGTTCTTTACGAGTGATTTTCTGGTGAAAGCTGAAGCTTCTGTTGCCTTTGATTTTAGTTTTTGTATCTTGTCTTTCCATGAGATATGGTGATAGAGACGCTATTCTGACATAATGTTAACCCATTTCCTCTTGATAACTCCACAATTACTTTTAAACAAAGAAAAAGAAACCTTTGAAGTCTTCCCATAAAAAAGTAATTGCCCTCATAAGTTGAAAGTAGGAGCAAAATTGCACCTGAAGTGCCTTTCATACCTTTGGTGTATTTAACACAATACATTGAAATGAAGCAAAGCTTATTTATTGATATCTCCGATAAGTTACAAATATGTACATATACATGAGTCAAAATAAACAAACAAGAGGGAGCCTTCACAAAGGTTGCTTAGGAGAAGTCTCAGCAGTCGGTCGAGCCCCAGAAAGAGAAGGCACCGGAGGGGGATCACTCAGAGCCTCAGTACTGGACAGAACCCTAGAAGGAGGAGGCATCGAAGGTTGATCATTTGGAGCTTCATTACGCGGTACAGCCCCAGAAGACGAAGGCAATAAATGCCTTTGGAACAAACCCACAAACCGCTGATGATCAAGTAAAACCTGACCATCAGATTCCTTCATCTGGTCAAGCTTCCTCTTCATGTTTGTAGCATAGTCATGTGCGAGCTGGTGCAACTGTTTATTCTTATGCTTGAGCCCTCTAATCTCCTATTTGAGACTCATCATTTCAGCTGCCAATGATTCAACTTGGCGGGTTCGAGCAAATAGGCGTTGGGCCATATTAGACACAGAACATGCACACTGAACACTTAGAACCAGAGAATCCTTAACAGCCAACTCATCAGACCATTTGGAAAGTAGTCTATTATCTTTGGGAGTGAGAAGGTTCCTGGCCACCACCGCAGCAGTCATATCATTCTTCATCACGGAATCCCCAACGGTAAGCGGACCAGTAGGGGATAAGAAGGATGGGCGCCATATGTTGTCTGAAGAAGGCGTGGCTGCCTCTTCAACGAGGTTCAAGTCAAAACGACGGTCGGAGGGGCCAGACATTTTCAAAGGTGTTGAAGAGAGAAGAGGTCGGACAAATCAAGATCTTATAAGTGCAAGAAGGGAGCTTCTACTGGTAAAGATTCAAGTGTGCTTTGGAACTTAATGCTAGCCTCTATAAAAATCTGCACTCGACGGAGCTTCAGAAATCGAAGAGGCGCCTGCCCAGAAATCGAAGAGGCGTTTGCTTTCTCAAAAGCTGGGCTGCTCAAAGACCACGAGGGCCGATCTCAGAAATCGAAGAGGCGTTTGCTTTCTCAAAAGCTGGGCTGCTCAGAGACCACGAGGGCCGATCTCAGAAATCGAAGAGGCACCTGCTTTTTTCAGCCTTGTCAGCACCTGTCACATGCACACTCAGCTTTGCTGAAATTACGGGCATTCTGTTGAAGATTTCTGGTGAAGTAGAAAGCACGTGAATCTTACTGTTCAATTATCCACTTTCCACACGCACCATCAGCTCATGGGTACCACAGATAACTTTGCCAAAGATCTCTGACAAAGTTTAGACACGTGAAGCTTGCAGCTCCCACTACATCGCTATGACCAAGAAGAGTAAAAGAATAGCAAAGAAACAGCACTAACAAAGTTTAGACACATAAATTTTGAAGGTCTAGTTACCATATTATTACCTACAAGGGTAAAGGAACAGCACCGCTGCTGGATAATTGGAAAGTCCTTGTGTGTCAACCTCTGTGCTCTGTGGCAAGGTAGACTAGCAAACATGCCCAACCTTTACTTACATTCGAGAAAACACTCCCAACAAGATTGCTTGCTCCAAAATCGAAGAGGCACCGTCCTCTGAATCTCGAGAGCCAGACTCCCAACATGATTACTTTCTCAAAAATCGAAGAGACACCGCTCTCCGAATCTCGAGAGCTAGACTCCCTGCAGGATTGCTCTCTCAAAAATCGAAGAGGCACCGTTTTTCGAATCTCGAGAGCCAGATCCTCGACAGGATTGCTTGTACGAAAACCGAAGAGGCACCGCTTTCTCAACTTTGAGAGCCAGATCTCCTTGGATAAAGCTTGTCTGTAATCTTCACACTCAACATTAGCTTTCCGGATACCACAGACCATTTTTTCAAAGTGCTCTGACACACGTGAAGCTGGCAGCTCCCACTACCGTGCTATGACCAAGCAGGGTAAAGGAATAACATTACTACTTATTGTTAGGGGAACTCCTATATATGTCGACCTCCATCCTCAACGGACAGGCAGACCTGCAAAAATGCTCAACCCTTCTTCATATTTGAGAGGGCACTCCCAACGAAGCCTCTCGAAATACTCAGCTTTCTTTCCCCCCAATAATACCTCTGCAAACAAGCTACACCAGAGCAAGAATATCTCATATCATCAGGGTTAAAAGCAAGAGTATCCCATATCATGCTTTTTCCCTGTCTTTTCCTTTGGCCTTGTTCTTACCTGCAAGACAAGGAGAGAGCAATCAGTCAGCACTTGGAATCAAGCTTCTAGTCAGGAACTGACTGCCTGGAACCCCTTACCTGATTACTTACCTGACATTGCTCTCGAGTACCCATCTTCAACATCTTATGCTTCCAGAGAAGATACCACATCTGCCTGAGGAACAGATAGGGAAAGTGAGAAGGATACAAGGAAGCATGTGGAGACAAGCGTAACAGAACACGTGCCGATACATCCACTACTTTGTCAACAACAAAAGTATCCCATATCAGCAGGGTCGAATGTACTCTAGATTTGATGGACGTGTTTTGACCCTCAAATTCTTCAGTCGGCCTTATACTATGGAGGAAACTAGAAAATCCTCCAGCCCAGTTCAAGAATAAGTCTGTGGAAAGTTACTTCTTCAAAAGCAAAAGTATCTCATATCGTCTATTCTCCTTTTCTTCTTTTTATCCTTCATGCTGCCTGCAAGATAGGGAGAATGAGAACAATCAGCCAGAACTCGAAATCAAACTTCTGATCTGGGACTGATTGCTTGGAGCTCTGATTGCTTACCTTGTCTGTCACCTCTTTCAGCAGATCCCCTAGCTCAACGACTTGGGGGACTCCTACTACATGGTTTGTATCGCGCTTGACCAAGCCTGAAACTACAAATAAGCTTCAAGTGAAATTGATACATTACCTTATGTATCTCCACCAGTTAAAGATACCACCCCTGGATGGAAGAAGCGTACTTACAGAGAAGATGCCACATCTACCTATGAGACAGTTAAGGCAAGTGAAGACGAGAGCTTGCACCTATGTCATTTGTACTAAATCATTCACTTGTACTCACTAAAGGAGATCTTGAACCTATGTACTTACGTAAACCTTTCACAATTAATGAGAACTCCTCTACTCCGTGGACGTAGCCAATCTGGGTGAACCACGTACATCTTGTGTTTGCTTTCCTGTCTCTATCCATTTACATACTTATCCACACTAATGACCAGAGCAATCTAGCGAAGATCACAAACTTAATACTTTCTGTTGTACCAAAGTCCTCACTAATTTTGTGCATCAACAATCCTTAAGTCCTTACCTTTTTGCGTTGGTAATGGATGAGTTAACAGGACATATTCAAGATGATATTCCTTGGTGTATGCTTTTCGCACACGATATAGTGTTGATAGATGAAACTCAGGAGGGGTAAATGCGAAGCTTAACTTTTGGAGAGAAGTGTTGGAATCTAAAGGTCTTCGCCTAAGCCGATCAAAGACAGAATATATGGAGTTCAAGTTCATTGCAAATGGAGGCCAAAATGAGTTAGGGGTGAGGCTCGGAAATCAGGAAATACCAAAGAGCGACCGTTTTCGCTACCTAGGATCTATCTTGCAAAAGAACGGAGAATTAGATGGAGATCTCAACCATAGAATACAAGCTGGATGGATGAAGTGGAAGAGTGCTTCCGGCGTGTTGTGTGACTGTCGTAGGCCACTAAAGCTCAAGGGAAAATTTTATAGGACGGCAATAAGGCCGGCGATGCTGTATGGCACAAAACGTTGGGAGGTGAAGCATCAACACGTACACAAAATGGGTTTGAACATGTACAAAGAAGGCCTACTGACGCTCCGGTTCGAAGATGTGACTACGGGATAGAGGTTCAGGACTGAAGGGGTAGAGGTAGACCTAGGAAAACTTTGGAAGAGACCCTAAGAAAAGACTTAGAGTACTTGGATCTAACGGAGGATATGACACAAAACCGCGCGCAATGCCGTTCTAGGATTCATATAGCCGACCCCACTTAGTGGGAAAAGGCTTTGTTGTTGTTGTTGTTGTAATGTTCTGCTTGCAATGCTTTTTTTTTTTTTTTTCTTTCTCATTTTAAACCCTCGTGTTCAAATTTCATTTTATGTGCAAACATTGACATATATCTCTCTATATTTTGCAGCTTCTCTGGATTCCTCAGCTCAGGCTGGACATGCAAATGGGGGTGATTGGCAAGAGGAGGTCTATCAAAAAGTAAGATGTCCTGCCTTCTTGTCCATTTGATGGCTTTCACATACAACATCTAAATATAAAAATACAAATTATTTGGCTTGGGGGTGGGAATAGAGCTACTGGAAAAGAATTATACTAATGCCAAAATTGCCTTGAATGGGGATTTTGAAGAATTACATGCTAGTTAAGATTCCCTGTGGGACAGCTTTGTTAAGCTACCATCGGTTGGGAGTTAATTAAAACTTGCTTCATTAGATACAAGCATACATGAATTCATGGTTGCATGCACGGGCTCTTTTCCATTGGCATTGATGTTATGATGGTGTCGGCAAGCATGTAGCTGCAGCAAAGTTCTTTCTAATCATCTTTGTATTGTAACTTTCATTTGCAGATCAAAGTCATGAAGGAAAGGTACTTACCCGAACTAAGTGAAATGTATCAGAAAATTGCTACTAAACTTCAGCAGGTATGTAATCAATTCAATTTTTTCTTCTCTCATAATTTGTTGCTTGAACTTTTAGCAATAAGCGGGGCTTTCCCTGCTAGGTTATTGTGGTGCTACTCTTTGATAGATTCTACCTTGATCTCCCTTTTAATTATTGTACCCATGTAGACCGTCTACATGGGATTGTTACCTCACCAATAATGCTAATAAGATTTCGCAACAAAGTTGTTACTCCTTATATTGCCATTCTTTTGCTTACTGACGTCTGTTCTTTCTGTTTGCCAGCACGATTCTCTTCCACAACAACCAAAGTCAGAGCAGCTTGAGAAGCTAAAAATGTTCAAAACCATGTTAGAGCGCCTCATATCAGTCTTACAGATTTCCAAGAGTAATGTTTCACCTGGTTTGAAAGATAATTTGGGTTTATATGAGAAGCAGATAGTAAATTTTATTAATACAAATAGACCACGGAAGCAAGATCCTCTGCAACAAGGGCAGTTCCCCCCACCTCATATGCACTCCATGCAGCAGCCGCAGTCTCAAATTCGTCAAGTGCAGTCTCATGAAAATCAAATGAACCCGCAGTTGCAAACAATGAATTTACAAGGTTCTGTGCCAACAATGCAGCAGAACTATATGACAAGCTCGGAGCAAAATTCAATGTCTTCGATTTCTGGGGTTTCAACAGCACAGCAACATGATGAATTCATTGCAGCCAAGTACAAATTTGGATTCAGGACAGGGAAATGCACCGAACTCTTTGCAGCAAGTTCCGGTGGGATCTATCCAACAAACTCCTGTCAGTGCTCCCCAGCAAGCTAACATGAATGGTCTGTCATCGCAGAGTGGGGTTAGTATGCTTCAGCCAAATATTATCTCCCTTCAGTCAAATTCTGGTATGCTTCAACACCAGCAATTAAAACAGCAGGAACAGCAAATGTTTCAGAATCAACTGAAGCAACAGTATCAACAGCGAATGCAGCAGCAATTGATACAGAAGCAGCAGATACTGCAACAGCAACAGCAGCAGCAACAGTTGCAGCAAGCAAAGCAGCAGCTTCCGGCGCAGATGGAGGCGAACCAACACCAAATGCCACTGCTTCATCAAATGAATGATGCAAATGACTTGAAGATGAGACAGGGGATGGGTGTTAAGCCAGGGGTTTTTCAGCAACATATATCCGCAGGCCAGCGTGCTTATCCACATCAGCAGTTGAAATTAGGATCTCCATTTCCTATTCCATCATCAAACCAACTCATTCAGGCTGCATCTCGTCAAATTTCGCAACATTCTTCTCCCCAAGTTGACCACAAGAATCTACTGACTCACCTGAAAGCTGGAACACCATTGCAAACTGCCGGTTCACCTGTTGTCATCCCATCTCCTTCAACTCCCATGGTTCCATCCCCCATGCCAGGGGATTCTGAGAAACCTTCCTCACTACCAAATGCTGGGAATATCGGACATCAACAAGCAGCTGGGGTGGGAGCACCAGTCCAGTCCCTTGCAATTGGCACTAGTGGGATGTTGGCATCTCCTTTGCTTGCTGAATTTATTGTACCAGATGCTAGTCATGTTAATGCTTTGTCAACTATTTCTGGCAAATCGAGTGTTACCGAGCAGCCTCTTGAACGCTTGATTAAGGCGGTTAGTAAAGTGGTTCTTATTACATATTTCTCTTTTTGAGTGCTGTATTGATGTTTCAGTACTTACCATCTAAATTGGTCTTTTCCTTCCCTCACTTGTGCTTAAATTAAATTTCTGTATTTTGAACTTGCAGGTGAAATCGATGTCACCTAATGCATTGAGTGCATCTGTCAGTGACATTGGCTCAGATGCATTGAGTGCATCTGTTTGCTGCTGTGAGGTGGAAGGCTGGGCGTTGTCATCGGTGTGGTGCTGCTACTCCCGCCACTGCTGCTGCCAGAAGAAGAAACAAGGGCAAGAAGGATGTGACGCTTGAAGAATTTATATCATTTGCAACATACGCGGAAAAATATTGTCAAACATATGCGGATTCTGCTGATAATGCCAGGGCAGTGGAAAAGAAAGTGCAATGGGCACTGCACAGTGCATTGTAAAGTGGATTGCACCATTGTAGAGATGCTGGCGAGCTTCAACAAAACGAAGAGACCGCAACCGCAACCGCGAAATGAATGGACCGCATTTTGAAAGATTTCTAGCTATTTGCCAATAATTAATTAAAGAGACTGCATTTTTTTGACGTTTTATGTGTGTTTGGAACAGTAGAAATGTTATTTACTTTTATTGTATGACTATGGGAATGATTTATCATCAGTTTTACTTTTATATGGTTGAATTAGAGGAGCTCTCTCTCTCTCTGTCTGTCTCTCTCCCTCCCTCCCTCTTATTAGTATACTGCAGCCACAGTCCAGGTACTTCCATGATCCTGGGCCGTGACTTCACAATGGAGACCAAGTCTCAGACCACAAAGGCCCCCTCCAACCTGAAAGGGCGTCGTGTTTGCACATCACATCTTTTCTATCGAGTTTGTCAATTGTTCCAGATGCATCATCATCTTTGCCATATGGTTTTTATGCTTCGTTGGTCTGAATTTCCATGTTCTCATGGCCTCATATGCTACTTCAGCTTCTCTCCTCCATTCTCTGAATAAAAATGTGATGACTTTATAAGGGTAGAGGATATCAATGTATTGGCTTTGTTAGGGGTGAGGAGGTTGGTTTGGGTGCATGGATATAATTGTTTTTCGTCACTGTGATAAAGCGTCATCTGCATGTATTGGCTTTTGTTAGAGAGAAAAAAATATTGCTATACCTAGAGTTTGGTTGTATTCTACCTTTGTACTAATGGTTTTTTGATCTCCATTTCGTCGGATGAGGTAATGGTTTCAAAAGCTCATGGGACAAGAGGTTATATTGAAGATTTCATGCCAACCACATGTATTTACTCACATGCGAAATCATTTGGATTCTTACATTTATTAACACATGAAAATAAAAGTTACGTGATGCTCACTATATGCAATTTAATACCGAAAAGGTCAAGAAGTAGATTAATTGAGGAATAATTGATCTCCTCCTTGTTCTGTCTTCTTTGAATAGTAATAAAGTGTAAAGTTATATAATTAATAAATTAAAAAAAAATATATATGAAAATCAGTCTATTTACATCAGTAATGTTAGAGACACAAACAATTTAACCAAAAGGGTTCAAAGTTTAATAAAAAATCATCCAAAACTTTTGTCTACCTTTTTCGTGCCCTTATCCTCCTCATCCTCGTCATCGTCCTCATCCTCATCCTCATCGTCTTATCTGCACCACAAACAATTTATAGTGTTAGTATTTTATTCCAATCAGATCCAATAAGGACCTACGGTCCCGGTGATGTACGTACATGTCAAGCGTCTGTAAATAGAAAAAAAAAACCAAAACATAAAACTGTTTCTGGAGAACCCATAACATAACACTATTTCTGGAAAAAAAAAATCAAATACAGTTTTTGTTTTTTCTGTGCACAAACAAACACTCTATCTGGAAATAAAAGAACCAAAATCCAGAAACAGTGACTTAAATTCTAAAAACAGTGCCTTAAATTCCAGAAACAGTCTATGTTTTAACCTTTGATTGTTTCTTTTTTTTTCATGCATCAGTTGATTATATTTAAGAAACAAGATGCTTATTTTTCTTTGAATCCAAATACAATGAATTTCACTATTTCTTTTCTAGCTTACATTTAAGAAACAATGTGTCTATTTCATTTAGATTCAGAAACAGTGACTTGGATTCCAGAAACAGTGTTGCTTAAAATCTAGAAACAGTTTATTTTTACAATCCAGAAACAGTGACCCATCGTTATTATTGAATAACATGCAGATCTTAAATTTGTTTTCTGGAAAAACAAAGGATGAACTCCACTAACGAAGAAAAATTGAAAAACAGTATTTCGAATACTTTATGAATAATAACAACGATCACGTTTCAACAAAATAATACAAAATATAAATTAACTTGCATGAGGATCTATAATTTTGTTTCAAAAAAAAAGAAGAAGGTCTGCAAAACAACGATGAACTTCATTAACGACGAAAATCTGGAAGTTAACCTAAAAAAGTTAAAGGTAAAATCGACAAATAATAAGTTATTATAGTTATGCCATTTTTAGTTTGACTACTTTAATATAAGTCTTATACTAATCATTAAACAAAACTTATAACATAATTTTTTTATTAAAACTAAAACATCTTTTCATCAGTTTTTCTATAAAAAAAAAAAAAAAACCTAAAAAATCAGACATTGGTTAAAATAGGATATTTGTTGTCTCTCCCTTCCTACTTCAAACTAAAAAGACCACATCGGACGCATCAATCCATTCAATCTTGTCAAAGTTTGAAGCTTTTGAGCAAGAACCCTCCTTCCTGTCCCAATCCCCCGATTTCCCAGTTCTGCAATTTCTCCATTGTTTCACTCCAGGCAACCTGAACCTTTCAATCTTCAACTCTCCTGTTCTGAAACAAAAGAGGTAACTTTTTGGTCAAATTTTGTTGGGTTTTTTGTTTTAGATGTTGATCGATCGTGGGTTTTTGTGGGAAATTCGTTATTTTTATTTTATTTTTTGATCTGATTGTGTAAATCGTATCTGGTTTTCGATTGTATGTGAATTGCAAGTTTTGATTTTTCATGGCGCCTAAACCGTGTTTAGAATCAGCTTGAATGAATGCAATTTCTGAAGCAAAAAAACTGCCTGCGTAATTATAAACGGTATGGTCGTTCGAATAGCTAGCTCTTGTACGAATTTTTGTGCCCTTTTCGTAGGTTTTCGTTGAAGTTGCTCAGTCCTGTGCTTTTGTTTTTGGCAGTTTTGTTGGGTTGATTGGATTTGATGGATACCAGTAAGTGGAGGCCTTCTCAAGTTGGAGAGGCGGCCATGGATGCCGGCGATTGGAGGAGTCAGCTGCAGGCTGATTCAAGGCAAAGAATTGTCAACAATCTGCAAGTGTTTTTCTTTGTCGATTCTTTTTTTGTTTCAAGCGGTAGTCTAATTTAGCGTAATCTAATCTAAACTATGGCGAGAGGACTTCAAACTTAAAACATATTGGTAGTCAGTAACTGATGTTGATTTTATTGCATGTATAGAATGGATACGACCTTTTTTATAGAATGGATACGTTGAAGAGGCATTTTCCCTTCTCCGGACAAGATGGATTACAGGAACTCAGTAAAATTGCTGTAAGGTTTGAGGAAAAGATTTATACTGCAGCCACAAGCCAGGTGCTTCCATAATACCAGAGTTCTTATTTCTTATGGTGCATGAAATGTTTGCGTACTTAAATACTTACCTATCTATTACATATATGACTTCTTAAAAATATGTTGTATATGTTTGAACTTTCTTCATATTTTGGATAGAACTGTATTCTAAATTTAGCATGGATTTTTTTATTTTTGTAGTCGGATTATCTACGGAAAATTTCTCTGAAGATGCTCACAATGGAGACCAAGTCTCAGAATTCAATGGGCAATCCTTTACAATCTAACTCTGCTGGTAACAGTAAAAACAACTATTGAAAACTGCCCTTTTCTCTCCCGCCTAGCTTTCTTCTTGATGGTTGATCTATTGCGAGAAACGTTCGTTCTTTTTCTTAATTACTCCCGCATTTCTTAACTGAGATGATTCTTTCTTGATATCTTTATTCGCTCGTATTTAATGGATCAAATGATGAGTACAAATGACATTTATTGTTTTCTTGTTTTGACGCTTGTTTATATGGTGTTTATTCTTGCTATTTACTTGAGTAGGGTCTTTCGGTATGCAACCCCAGGTCCCCAATCAAGGTATGCAACCCCAAGTCCCCAATCAAGGGCAAAATTGCACCTGAAGTCTTCCCATAAAAAGTAATTACCGTCATAAGCAGAAAGTAGGAGCAAAATTGCACCTCAACTGTTTGGGAAGGATAATTTTCCATATCAATGTTTTGCATGCAATGCTTATTTTTTTTCTTTCTCATTTTTAACCCTCGTGTTCAAATTTCATTTTATGTGCAAACATTGACATATATATCTCTCTATATTTTGTAGCTTCTCTAGATTCCTCAGCTCAGACTGGATATGCAAATGGGGGTGATTGGCAAGAGGAGGTCTATCAAAAAGTAAGATGTCCTGACTTCTTGTCCATTTGATGGCTTTTACATACAACATCTAAAGATAAAAATACAAATTATTTGGCATGGGGGTGGGAATAGAGCTACTGGAAAATAATTATACTAATGCCAAAATTGCCTTGAATGGGGATTTTGAAGAATTACATGCTAGTTAAGATTCCTTGTGGGGCAGCTTTGTTAAGCTACCATCGGTTGGGAGTTCATTAAAACTTGCTTCATTAGATACAAGCATACATGAATTCATGCTGTCTGAATTCATGAGTATCGGCAAGCATGTAGCTGCAGCAAAGTTTTTTCTAATCATCATTGTATTTATAACTTTCATTTGCAGATCAAAGTCATGAAGGAAAATTACTTACCCGAACTAAGTGAAATGTATCAGAAAATTGCTACTAAACTTCAGCAGGTATGTAATCATTTCAATTTTTTCTTCTCTCATAATTTGTTGCTTGAACTTTTAGCAATTAGCAGGGCTTTCCCTGCTAGGTTATTGTGGTGCTGCTCTTTGATAGATTCTACCTTGATCTCCCTTTTAATTATTGTACCCATGTAGACTGTCTACTTGGGATTGTTACCTCACCAATAATGCTAATAAGATTTCGCAACAAAGTTGTTACTCCTTATATTGCCATTCTTTTGCTTACTGATGTCTGGTCTTTCTGTTTGCCAGCACGATTCTCTTCCACAACAACCAAAGTCAGAGCAGCTTGAGAAGCTAAAAATGTTCAGAACCATGTTAGAGCGCCTCATATCAATCTTACAGGTTTCCAAGAGTAACATTTCACCTGGTTTGAAAGACAAGTTGGGTTTATTTGAGAAGCAGATAGTAAATTTATTAATACAAATAGACCGAGGAAGCAAGGTCCTCCTCTGCAACAAGGGCAGCTCCCCCCACCTCCTCATATGTAAAGTGGATTGCACCGTTGTTGAGAGGCTGGCGAGCTTCAACAAAACGAAGAAATCGCAACCGCAACCGCAAAATGAATGGACCGCATTTTGAAAGATTTCAAGCTATTTGTCAATAATTAATTAAAGAGACTGCATTTTTATAACGTTATTTGTGTGTTTGGAATGATTTATCATCAGTTTTACTTTTATATGATTGAATTAGAGGAGCTCTCTCTCTCTCTCTCTCTCTCTCTCTCTCGCTCAGACCACAAAGGCCCCCTCCAACCTGAAAAGGCGTCGTGTTTGCGCATCACATCTTTTCTATCAAGTTTGTCAATTGTTCCACATGCATCATCATCTTTTCCATATGGTTTTTATGCTTCTTTGGTCTGAATTTCCATGTTCTCATGGCCTCATATGCTACTTCAGCTTCTCTCCTCCATTCTCTGAATAAGAATGTGATGACTTTAGAAGGGTAGAGGATATCAATGTAGTGGCTTTTGTTAGGGGTGAGGAGGTTGGTTGGGGTGTGTAGACATAATTGTTTTTTGTCACTATGGTAAAGCGTCATCTGCATGTATTGGCTTTTGTTAGACAGAACAAAAATTGCTATACCTAGAGTTTGGTTGTATTCTACCTTTGTACTAATGGTTTTTTGATCTCCATTTCGTCGGAGGAGGTAGTGGTTTCAAAATCTCGTGGGACAAGAGGTTGTTATATTGAACTAAAGAGACATTTGGATTTCATGCCAATCACATGCGAAATCATTTAGATTCTTACATTTATTAACACATGAAAATGAAATTTAATATCAAAAAAGTTAAGAAGTAGATTAATTGAGGAATAATGAAGTAGATTAATTGAGGAATAATTGATCTCCTCCTTGTTCTGCCTTCTTTGAAAAGATATAAAGTGTAAAGTTATATAATTAATAAATTTAAAATTAAAAAAAATATAAGAAAATATGTGACAACCCGTCCCTAGTTCTATGATTTTATAAATTTTAAAAGTGTGAATTTACGAAAATGCCCTAAGAGGCGAGGGTATTGACTTTCGTTGACCAACGTATAGTGAGACGTATGAAATATTCCTTTAGTGTATTTTTGTAGTACTTGACAATACGGCCGCATAGGCGTAAACAGAAGCGGATTGGGGTATTGATATTACCATTTATTATTTTATATATTTTCTTAAGTACCATTACATTATTTTAAGATTAACTTTGGTAAAAATAGAGGGAAGGAGAAGAAGAAACAGGGGGAGAAGGGGAAAAAGAAGAAGGGGATTGGCTGCCCAATCAGAGAGGAAGGGAGAGAGAGCTTCGGCTAAGGGAATGAAGAGAGAGAGTGAAGGTGACCAACCAGAGGAAGGAAAGGAGGGGAAAGGAGGGAGAAAGAAAAAGGGGAAACCGGGTTTCCCTCAACCCGTGACCCGACCCGGTGGATTCTCCCATCTCCGGCCACCTTGGACGACAAGGTTAGTGTCAAAATGACCCTTACCACAAGGCAAACCGATCCCTCTTCCATTTTCATGTGAAAATTGGGTGGAAATTGGTGAATTTTGGGTAAAACCGTACAAGAAATGGCGCACGGGTTGGGTTCTATTCCGCCATGATTTGAAGCTACCTCCTCCAATTACCACCACAAATAGACTCCCCTCAACCTTAGGAACAAAGCCCAAACACTTGTGGAGGCGTCGGAGTGAGCATGGAGGTCGAATCGAAGCACACCCTCTTTAGGGTTTCCAACGGATTTATGTAAAATTGAGGTTCCCGGCCTAATTGGCCTTGGTCACAGGTATTAAAGTTGCTCCACTCATTGAGACCTACAATTTTGGTAATTTTTTGAAATAGTTGGATTTTTCGACGAGTCGGGGCGCCGACCACCACCCACAGCGGCGCGTGGCCAGGGGGCCGCCGATGTTATTATTAGGCTAATTAGATGCCTTGAGTTCATTTTTGGTAGTTGTATGACGTAGGTTGATTGTTGGAATCTAAATTCTCTACGTTACGTTAATAGGTCATTGTATGAATCGACGATCCGACCGTCGGATCATCACCAAACTTTAATACGTTATAATACGTAATATTTGAGGACCATAGGAACTTACAGGTCGGGAATCCGATATACGAATATTCCTGAATTGGATTTGTAAGTTCATAAAATAAAAGGTTAACCGTCACTTGGTTTTGACAATTGGCGGAGATCCGACCGTTGGATCGTAATGAGACTTTAAGATGTTGTTCTAGAAGTGTAATGTGGATCTTTGGAAGTAACAGATCGGAAATCTGTGTTGCAGATCTTCCAATTTGAATTACGTAGGGATATGTTTTATGTAAATTGTGTATTTTATCGGTATGAACTCTGAGATGTGATTTGATAATTGGTCATAGGCAACTATGGTTCATGATGTCTCGATATGCGTGCTAGGGAGTCGTAGCGCGGACCTCAGGTGAGTGGGTCTTTTCCTTTATATCGTGTGTGTGTGTGTATATATATTATATGATTGATAATTCCACCAACATTTATAAATTGATTATTGCTTACGATTACTGTGAATGCTTTGAGGTAATTATTGTGAACTACGAATGACTTGATCCTTGTTTAGGGTACGTAGGCAGTCTAACGAGACGTTAGATGCAGCCATACAACAAATGAGACTAAACCTTTGAGACTAGCCTTGTTTAAGGAATTGAATAATGTGAGAGACATTGGTGGAAGATGTGAGATTTAACCTTATGAATTGGTGGTTAAATGTTGGTCATAAATCAATGTGTGAAGAATCAAGAAATTGAAGTAAGGAAACGTAAGTAATGATAGTTAATTAAACTAGTGTCTAATTGGGCTTATCACCGATAATTATCCCCGAAAATAAATAGTTCGGGAGTAGGGCGTTATAACTTATGCATTTTATGTCATATTATATATAAAATGCTATGACATGGTTGAGTATTAGATTGCATCATGGTATATCCATATGTATATTACTTGCACATAATTGTTGTCAACGCTTTGAAGTGCAAAGTTGAACGCAGGACACCCAGGTAAGTTCATGTGAGTTTAGAGTATTAGTTGAAATGATGGAGTTATGGCATGACTACATGTATATAATAGGCAACTCCGACACTGTCGTACAGGTTGCCTATGAGTCGTATATGTTACAATAGATGCAGTTAGAGCTCATAAACCTGCATCCCGGTGTTAGTGCTCCCGCCCGTGGCCAGGGCACAGTCCTTCACGTGATGTTCACCCCCCCCGCACCTTACGTTCACCTTGGATCCAAGGTAGGTGCACAGTCCTGTCGTACAAACCACTATAGGTGGTTCCGACTCGTAGGTGACTCGCGATTATTCGCACAGTATTCACGTGATCGTAGTACTTGAACGTACTTAATTATACCCAGTCCTGTTGTACAGACCACTGTAGGTGGTTCCGACTTGTGTGCAGGGATATGTGATGAGCTATGGGTTCAGCCGTACAGGCTACTGGAGGTGGATCCGGCTGACATATTACAAGGATATGTGATGAGCTATGGGTTCAGCCATACATGCCACTAGAGGTGGATCCGGCCGACATATTACAAGGATATGTGATGAGATATAGATAAGTCGTACATGTCACTATAGGTGACTCCGACTTATGAGCTAACATTGACTGATGAGATATGGATAAGTCGTACATGTCATTATAGGTGACTCCAACTTATAAGCTAGCATTGACTGATGAGATATGGATAAGTCGTACAAGTCACTATAGGTGACTCCGACTTATGAGCTAGCATTGATTGATGAGATATGGATAAGTCGTACATGTCAATATAGGTGACTCTGACTTATGAGCTAGCATTGATTGATGAGATATGGATGAGTCGTACAGGTCACTATAGGTGACTCCGACTTATGTGCTAGCATTGATTGATGAGATATGGGTGCAGTCGTACAGGTCACCATAGGTGACTCCGATTTGCGTACTAGTATGGATTATTAAGCACACGATTATTTATATTGCTGTTGAGCTACTGTGTTGTGGTATACTTCTTGACTTAATGTTAGCGTACATTGATATCATACTTATATGTTTGTACCGTACTTAGGGTCTCCGTATTTAGATCTCGTATAAATACTCGGGGGACTCAAATGTAACTATGTAATAAAGGAATGGGCAAATATGTAATAAGTGAGGAGCCCTTATTCTATAAAAGGACTTCTCACTCTCCTCATTAAGGGAGGCCAATTCTTAGGCCAATTCTTAGGCCAATTCCTAGGCCATGAAGCCTCCTCACATTCCCTAAGCTCTAAGCTCTCTCATGCTCTCATCCTCACAATCAAGCTCTTACAGAGAAATACAATATAAGTGTGGACGTAGCCCAAACATTGGGGTGAACCACGATACATCTTGTGTTATTTAATTTCTTGCAGATTCACGGTCAGATTTACGTTGTTCCAAGACCTCCGGTTTTGTGCATCAACATTTACATTATGTACCATATATTGGGCCTCATAAAAAATACTTGGGGGACTCTAGCCCATCACTTATGTATTGAGGAGCGATCCCTTATTTTATAAAAGGGACTCCCTCACTTTCATTAGAGAGCACCCATTATTCATGTACTGAGGAGCGAGCCCTTACCTTATAAAAGGGACTTCTTCCTCTTCATTAGAGAGCATCGCCGCCTACTGAGCAACCTCTTCGCCGCAAGCACCACTCCTAACCCATCACTTATGTATTGCGGAGCGATCCCTTATTCTATAAAAGGGACTCCCACACTTTCGACGCCACAAGCTGAGCCAACCAAGGCAACATAAGCCACAAGCCGAGCAGCCTCGCAACATGTGCTACTTCTAGTTGAGCATCATTTCAGATTGAGCATCGCCTCATATCGAGCATCAGTTCAAGAAAACATCTAGTTACTTCGGCCCACACATGGACTGAGTTTCAAGTCTCTAGCCAAAATACTCTCTTGACTGAAGACTTGGGGGACTACTGTTTGTATCATACTTAGGGCCTCCGTATTTAGATCTCGTATAAATACTCGGGGGACTCAAATGTAATTATGTAATAAAGGAAATGGCAAATATGTAATAAGTGAGGAGCCCTTATTCTATAAAATGACTCTTCACTCTCCTCATTAAGAGAGACCAATTCTTAGGCCAATTCTTAGGCCATGAAGCCTCCTTACATCCCCTAAGCTCTAAGCTCTCTCATGCTCTCATCCTCACAATCAAGCTCTTACGGAGAAA